AGCTCAGCCCACCAGGGGGCGGGCTGGCTGGCATGTGGTGCTGGGGGATCGAACTGTGGTCCCTGGGTTTTGCTAAAGCTTGTTCTAAGTAGGTGCTTTACACCACTGAGCCATCTCACCAGCCCTGGCGGGTTTGTTGAGATACAGTCTTGCTATGTAATTCAGGCTGGCCTCCAAGCCACAGCGATACCCCTGCCTTCCAAATGCTGGAATTACACTTGGATGTATTGATGTATTATCGTGGACGATTGGTTGGTTTTTGAGGCGGGGTCTCCTTATGTAGTTGGTCACACTCTGAACTCAGCAATACAGGCTCGACCACCAGAGTGCTAAGTTTTCAGGCCTCCACCATGGATGGTAAGTGAGTACCTTCTTTTATGTTTTGAGACAGAGACTCACTGTATAGCTGAGGCTGGCCTCAAAAGTCGTGGTGATGATGTGGCCAGGATACAGCTCAATGGGGCAGTGCCTGCCTGCTGAGGCAAAGTCCAGAAAACCCCACAAGTCATGGTAATGCTCCTGCTCCTGCCTCCGGAGTGCTGAGATTAGAGGTGTGCACCGGCATGCCCTGCTAGTATTTTAAAGGGAGAATAAAGATATGGGGTAAAAGGACGAAGAGAATTTAAGTAGAGTCTTGGAAATGAAAGATTACAAAAATAAGGATGTGTTCACCCACATGAAATCCCCGTGGGTTTGCTGACTGGCACTTATCAGCATTGTGCCCTTACTCTCCCACAGAGCTGGGAGGCAGGGACGGTTTTCTGGTATTGCCTGGAAGAAAACTGAATTTTTTGTTTTATTTTTGTTTGTGGGGGCAAGGTCTCTCTATGTAGTTCAGACTAGCCTTGAACTATGTAGCCCCAACTGGTCTCAAACTCAGCAGTCCTCCTGCCTCAGCTTCCCAAGTGCTGGCATTACAGGCGTGTGCCACCATACCTGGCTGCAAACAATACTTTTGGCAGCCTTGAGTTTTCTCAGATAGGGTAGGTATTTTGAGCGGGGTTGGTATTATCCTAGGGATGTAGCTTTGAGCTATGCTAGTGTTTTGTCCAAATGCTTATAGGCCAAGGTTGAGGCCTAATGGAGAAATGGTGTTGGCCAAGGAGAGATTCATTCATTCTTTCGTCTTTTTGAGTTGATGATTTGTGTGTGTGTGTTTGTGTATTTTAGGGAAGGGTCTACAGGGTATTCAGGGTCTCACTACTAGATTGGACTTGTAGTGATCCGCCTGTTTATAGTCTCCCAAGAGCTGGGATTACAGGTGCGTGTCACAATGCCCAGTCTCAAATGCTGTCTCAGCACACCCAAGGGTGCGGCCAGCACAGCAGACCTGGGGATCGAACCCCCAGCCCCTGCACCTGCTTGCAGGCGCTTTAATCCACTGAGCTATTTGGCTGACCCTTCTTTCATCTTTTTGAGACAGGGTCTCCATATGCAGTTTAGGCTGTCCTTGAATTTATGTAGCCCAGCCTGGTCTTAAACTCACCAACAATCCTTCTGCCTCAGTCTCCCAAGTGCTAGGATTATAGGCATGTGCCACCATACCCCACCAAGGAGAGAATCATTCCTAATACATGATGCCGTAGTTTCTGTCCCCATCCCCTCACCTCTAATCCCAAAATAATTAACACAAGAAAGCATTATATTTCCTACAAGTGTGGGACTTGTATGCTAGATTTTCAACTTGATTGGTTTAGTTTTGGTTGTTGCATTTTTGAGACTTCCCTGGACCTCACTTTGTAGCCCCGGCTGGTCTCAAACTCTCAATGGTCCTCTTGACCCAGCCTCCCGAGTGCTGGGATTACAGGAGTGCTTGATTGGTTTGGGAATCACCTAGGGGATCAGTAAGTCACTCTTCCTGGGTCATGAAGGTGTAGCTTACGGTCTGTGCCTGACCCAGCTCCCCGCCATTGTGAACTGAGCCGCTTTCCCCTCCTAAATCCATATGCCATTAGGGTTCTGCCTTGAACTGACTCCTCTAAAACCTTGAGCCTAATAAACGTGTCCTTTAAATTGTGGGTGCCAACTGTTTGACACTATGGGCTACGATTGTGTTCCCTTTGTTACTTCTTTGGTCTTTTCCTCCTTCCCCTTTCTTCACTGGAGATTGAACACAGGGCCGTCACACAACTACATTCTCAGCCCTTTTTATTTATTTTGGTTATTTTTATTTTTTATTTTGGTGGTACCAGGGATCAAACTCAGGATCTTGTGTTGCTAGGCAAGCACTTATTCCACTGAGCTATCTGGCCCATTTTTTTTTTTAAAGTTCTTATTTTATTTATTTGGCCAGCTCAGCCAACCCTGGGGGTAGGGCTGGCATGGTATGTGGTGCCGGGGATCGAACCACTGTCCCTGTGCACTTGCCTGAGCTTGCCCAAGCAGGCGCTTTAGGCGGCCAAGCTATCTCGCCGGCCCTTTTTTTTTTTTAAGATAAAAGAGGACAATTTATTTGAAGATGGGGAAGAAGAGAGAGATGGCAGACAGCTGCTGCTCTGCAGGTATACGGAGGTTTTGAAACTGAATTGCTCCCTTTTTATTTTTTGAGACAGGGTCACACTAGTTGCTAAATTGCCTAAACAGGCTTAAGTTAAATTGACATGAAATTGTGCTTTTCCTGCTTCAGCCCTCTACACTGCTGGGGTTACAAATGTTTACTAGTACACCTAGCTGTTTACTGTATTTCCATTATTTTTATTTTTTGTGCTGGGAATCGAACTCTGGACCTTGCACTTGCCAGGGAGATGCTTATGCCACTGAGCTGTATCACCAGCTCTGTAAGTCCATTCTTTTTTTTTTTTTTTTTTTTGTGGAACCTGGGATTGAATTCAGAGTAATTCCATTCTTGTATGACTGAAGTTTCTAATTATTTTTCCCCTTGCATTATCTGCTCAATTTGTTCCAAATTACCAAGGAGATCATCAACTCTTAAGTCCTTATTTTTTCCCTTGGAAACCTTGAGTCCCATGTGCCCTCTCCTGGGGGGTCCAGAGAGTATGGGGTCTTTCATAGGCGGACCCCACCGCTGATGAGGAGAGATACAGGCCAGGGAGCAGTGTGCTTTGAGGAAGAGAACATCCCAGTAAGGAAAGCCGATTCAGTGGCTGGCTTGCCCCAGTGAAGTAATCCTGCTCAGGACGTACAATAGGGAGCTATGTGAGCAGGAGCCGCAGGAAGATGCTTTTAGCTCCCAAGCATTTTTGCTCCCCCTGCCTTTTTTTTTTTTTTTTTTTAATTTGTGTGTGTGTGTGTGTGGCCAGCTCAGCCCACCAGGGGGCGGGGCTGGCTGGCATGTGGTGCTGGGGGATTGAACTGTGGTCCCTGTGCTTTGCTAAACTTGTTCTAAGTAGGTGCTTTAGACCACTGAGCCATCTCACCAGCCCCCCCCCCCCTTTTTGAGACATGGTTTCGCTCTGTAGTTCAGGCTGGCCTTGGACTATATAGCCAGGCTAGCCTCAAAGTTGAAGCTATCCTGCCTCAGCTTCCCAAGTGACGGGATCACTGGTGTGTACCACCACGCCCAGCTCCTTTATTCTTTTTTAAATATAAAATTTAGTTTTTTGCGGTATCGGGGATATGAACTCAGGACCCTGCACTTGCCAGGCAAGAGCTTATTCTACTGAGCTATCTCCCTGGTCCTATTTCTAGTTTTTAGTACCTTTTTTTTTTTTTTTTTGCAGAACCAGAGATTGAACTCAGGCCCTTGCACTTGCCAGGCAAGCACTTATTCTACTGAGCCATCTCCCTGGCCCAGTACCTATGTTTTACAAATGCACATTTACTCTACATCTTTGCAACTTGCAAAGCTCTTGATTCTGGATTCCTTCTCCCCACAGGCTCACCCCTGCTTGTTTCCTAACATACAACTTTCCTTTCCCTAAATACTCCCTTTCCATGCCCCTCCAAACTGTAAACCTGCCTTTTTCTTTCCAGAGAAAACTGATCCACTTGTGTGAGCCCGTCACATACACTCTTTAAAATTTTTTTTAAAATTTTTTTTATGTGTGTGTGTGTGTGTGTGGCCAGCTCAGCCCACCAGGGGGCGGGGCAGGCTGCCATATGGTGCAGGGGGATTGAATCCCGATCCCTGCACTTTGCTAAGCTTGTTCTAAGTAGGTGCTTTAGACCACTGAGCCATCTCACCAGCCCTACACTCTTTAAATATATCTGGAATGGGACCAGGGAGATGGCTCAGTAGAATAAGCACTTCCCTGGCAAGCGCAAGGGCCTGAGTTTGAT